CTTCTGGTGATCCTCCTGTCTTCATGAAGATCATCTTTTTCTCTGCACACAATGTCACTCACACTAGACAGAAACTTCCTGTACAAGAGAAACAGCATATGTGCCAATAATAATGAGGTTTTCTGTTTCTCCTTCATTTGCCTTTAACAGTGACCATGGTGCTGGATTTCTCTTGGGACGTCTTGGTAACAACTTCTTGACATGTCTACATGTAATGTATCATAATGAGTAGCTACCATATTCTTTGTTAATTGGAAATAACCAGGAACATGTTCAGCCCCAAGGTACCAGTTCATACTCCCTGTGCTAAACACGTATCCAAAAAATGTGTCTAGCAGCTGCTTGACAAATGAACCTGTAAATTCAAAAGCAGATAATCAGAATCAAAATAATTAGGTAAATTAATGGAAGAAAAAGCGCTATTAAAGACAGAGATGAGTCTTCTGATTCAGAAGATCTCTGAGTCGGGCCTTTTTAGCTCAGGGTTGGGAGAGTGCTGGGCACCCTTTACTCCTCTTCTCACCTTCGCCTTAGCTGGGCAGCGCTGCGTGCCTGTCGCAGACAGCAAAGCAGGTTGACGGATATTTAGATTAACCTACATGTCTGTGGGTGCTGAGCAGGTTCTGCTGTCAACACCCACCAAAGACAGTCTATTAGGATGACTCTGTAATACAGGGATAGCAAAAGATGGAAAGAGGCAACTTTCCAGATGGACAAAAGCTTAGACTGATAAGAAATATTGTTTGGATAGGAATCCAAGTTATGTAGTGAATTAAGTGAATTAAACACACGATCCTTTTGGCCAACTTCAAGTATATGCACTGAAGCTTAGAAGCAATTCAGCTCCATGCTCAGACTGCAATAACCAGGTTTGCATGCAAGCTTTAAAGAGAATTTAGGACAGAAATATTTCTTTGACAAAATGCGTTTCAGAAGTAGTAGCAATAACGGGTATCTTTCCTCACATTGAGTAACGGATCATCAAATAGAGATAAAAGTAATATAAATAGTGACAGCCAATGAGAAACAATTTTTTCAGTCTTCTACATGCTAACACATACTAATAAAATTGTATTTTACCTCTACCTGTAAGTGTGCTGAAGCTATGGAGATCCTTGGAGTTATGACAGTAAGAAGGGGTACATATTGTGTCCTGAAAGAGCACACCATACAAGAATGTTTTATTTTAAGACTACTGGGGATAAAAATAATTCAGAAAAGTGAAAGAAAGTTTAGTGACTGCTAGACTCATGAAAATGCTGACTTTATAAATGGTAAAAATTTGAATTTCCCAGTGCTGTTCTGTACTTCGCTATTTGTTGCAGATGAGTGGATCTCAATTAAAGTAACTGTCTGCTCACTGCAAGTTTCCTGCAGGATTAGGCTCATTATTTGAATTTCCAGATGTTCAACAGTACTATGTATTCATAATGTGCAAAAGCAGATTAAACTGATTTGATAGAGGAAAGCCTTTTTATAACACTGTTTTCTAAGGACAAAAAATGGTTTGCAATGCATTTGTTAAGATACTACCATGTAGAACAAAATTCCCCTGGCCTTTACTGAGCTTTGGATCAGGCCCTCATTTAAAAAAAAATTAAAAAGGCAATAAAAAAGCCAGATTATCACACAAATACAATATTTATTCTCCAGGTATTCTGCTTCAAACAGTGTAATTGAGTTCAATAGCTCCATGTTTATTACTATGGCCTATGCCTAGACATTAGCATAGCAAAAAACATGGAGGGAAATGACATACATACTCCCACACACCTATGCAAATACGATTATAATTGCTCTCTGTATTTCACAGCAAACCTTTTATGGGAATCATCATGCCTATTCTGTCTAAAAAATATCTGCTATGTAAAAAGTGGTTGAAATAGAATTTTATTTTATTTAGCTTTAAGCAAATATGTCCAGCCAGGACTGTTGATACTACCTTGCCTACGCATGCATACACATGTATATGGATGTGTGTATCACACAACAAAGCTAAACACAAACCTATACTTCAGCTGCATGAAAAATGTTCTCACTTTTCAGCACCCACTTGCTGCACCTCTCCTGAAAGGACCAAATCTCTCTTAAATGAACTCTTTCACAAGCATCCCTTCACACAACAGGCCTTCGCAAAGCATTGCGAATCCGTGGAGGAAAAAAATCCATCCTATTCCCTCTATGTATCTGCACAAGGCCTTGCACAATGGGGCTGTGATTTATTTGGGGCCCTGGGTATGACTGCCATGCAAGTAGTAACTGATAACAACACACCACGAGAGACTGCTGAGGTGCATTGGCGGTGAGGAAAAATAAACCCTGCTCCATAATAAGGATTCTCTACATTTAGTTATGTGTGCAAATGTAGTTGCAGTGATAGAGCTTGATGAAAATCTTAGGGCCACCTCCTTAATTCCACTCCGACTTTTCAGACAACGGTAATAAAAATAAATTGTTCTGTGATTTGTGGAAAGATCACCAAGATTTAAGATTTCCATTAAAGAAAACTCATTGAAATATATCTATGGACTGCCGTCTTTTTCTTTTCTTTTCTTTTCTTTTCTTTTCTTTTCTTTTCTTTTCTTTTCTTTTCTTTTCTTTTCTTTTCTTTTCTTTTCTTTTCTTTTCTTTTCTTTTCTTTTCTTTTCTTTTCTTTTCTTTTCTTTTCTTTTCTTTTCTTTTCTTTTCTTTTCTTTTCTTTTCTTTTCTTTTCTTTTCTTTTCTTTTCTTTTCTTTTCTTTTCTTTTCTTTTCCTTTCCTTTCCTTTCCTTTCCTTTCCTTTCCTTTCCTTTCCTTTCCTTTCCTTTCCTTTCCTTTCCTTTCCTTTCCTTTCCTTTCCTTTCCTTTCCTTTCCTTTCCTTTCCTTTCCTTTCCTTTCCTTTCCTTTCCTTTCCTTTCCTTTCCTTTCCTTTCCTTTCCTTTCCTTTCCTTTCCTTTCCTTTCCTTTCCTTTCCTTTCCTTTCCTTTCCTTTCCTTTCCTTTCCTTTTTCTGTTCCTTTCCTTTCCTTTTTCCTTTCCCTTCCTTTCCCTTCCTTTCTTCCCACTTCCTTTCTCTTCTTCTTTTCCCCCTTTCTTCTTTTCTTGTCTCCCCTGAAATTCTCAGTTATGATGCTTAAACTGCAGCGCTGGATCCTTCACTCCATTACACTGCCTCGGACAAAGCCAGGGTCCCGTGGGGCGAAGGCTGTTATTCCTCTTGGCAGCAGCAGGATGAGACCTGTGGGGCTGAGCGGTCCTGCCAAGGGCACCACGTTCAGCTTTCACCCACTATCATCTACAGCAAAATGCATGGCTCCCCCGGTCTGCTTCAGGTGGGTGACATTCCCAGGCAAGGAAGGAGGACGAGGTGGAGAATGCCTGGTGGATATTCAGGCGTTTGTGTGAAAAATTCTCAGGGAAAATTCTTTCTCTCTCTCTCAGGCCCCTAAACTCTTTGTGAATGGGGCCAGTGCAACATGTGGCCTTTCACCTCGCCCAAGAACCACTGCCAGACAGCCACACTCAGAGAATTGTTTGTTAATAGTCCAATTAGATAATTGCCATCTTTCACTCCTTTTGCTCTACATTTCCCATAAAGGAATGAATAAGGAGAGCAGCATGAAGAGGGCTTCTGCCCTGCAAGGTGACAAGAAGGACTGGAGCATGCTCTTTGCACAAGGCCATTTGCTTGAATTGAATCATTGTAGCCTAATCAATGGTCTTATTGGATTACTGGCTGTTGCGGTTCTCAAAGATATTGTAGCGGAGACAATGAAATAGCTAGAGTAAAACTTTTTTCTCCTTTAGTGGATCACGCAGTTGAGATTTTTCACGGGCTATCTCTCTGTCTTTCCCTTCCTCCCTCCCTTCCTCCCTCCCTCCCTCTCTCCCTCTTTCTCCCCCTCTCCCTTTCTCCCCCCTCCTGGATCCACTGCACACAAAGCTGGCTTTTTTTTTTCCCTTTTTTTTTTCAATGAGCAGGCTCTGCGAATAGGTTCAGTGTTTGCGAAGGTGCAGAATAAGCACACACACATGCACGCACACATACACACGCACACACACAGAGGGAGAAGCACAAAAAGCAAGTATCGGGACTGAAATAAGGAGAGGTAGGAGTTTAAGATGGCTGTCTGTGGGGAGATGTGTTAAGGAGGATTTCTGCTGGCCAAGATAACCTGCTTCCTTGGAGAGATCTGCTTGAAGGAAGAACTTTTCATGTGTGTGCGTACTGGGGATCTGTTTGTTTGTTTAGAATTCAGGGGGCTTTTTTTTTTTTTCCCACCCCCCTACAACTGCATTTTTCCAGCCCTTCTTAGCAGCTTTATTCAGATTTATTTGTCGTGCTTTGGAGAAAGCCACTATATAATCGGGAGGTCAAAGGCATACTGAAGAAAGTTAATAATGGCTGCTAATGGTGCTAACAATTCAGGGTGAATCTTGTCAAAAGTTTTTTTTTTCCCTCCCCCCCCCCCTTTTTTTTTTCCTCTTTTTTTTTTTTTTTCTGGAAGTCTCAGTCTTTTGATTGTGTGTTTCCTGAAAGCAAGACCAATCATTTCAGTTTATTCACTGGCTAAACTCTACTTGATTGGGGACAAGCACACAAACCATCCATTACGATCTGATATATTATCCAAACAATTTAGTGTATTCATGAGGTAACCTAAATGTGGAGGCTGCAAAATTACCCGTAATCAATTGAAACAGCGAGTGCGCGTCCCTCTGTGTGTCTAACAACTACATGTCTCCATAATAAGGCAGACATTAAATCATTTTAGAGTTGTACTGTTGAGTACCTGATCACTGGGCGCTCTGGGAAGCTGGACAGTCACATTAGGACGCTGGGACTGAGGAAGCCGCTGCTTTTCCAGTGGGATAAAACCCGACCTTCCTTACTCAAGGTGCTTTACAGATCCCCACCGATCTGACCCTAAGCCGTGCAATATCCAGCATAGACTTCGCCTTCTTCTTCTTCTTCTACTCTTCTATATTTTTTATTGGCTTTTTTGTTTTTATTGCACTACATGTTTGGGAAACAAGACAAAATGGACGTTAGATGCAGTTCAGAGACTGAAGCTAACCGGGTCTCGAAGAACGGACATAAAGAGGGCAAGGAAAGCAAAGGGTCTGAAGGAAATATTTCTACTTCTTTTTTGAAGGATCAGCAAGGGACTTTTTCTGCCTCTGCAGCTACGGAAGATTGTAATAAAAGTAAATCTAGTTCTGCTGATCCGGACTATTGCAGGAGGATCCTAGTTAGAGGTATGAGTTTGAGGTATTTCGCGAGGGTGGGGGAAGGTGAGCTCCCTTCACGCCGGGGAGATTTGTTTATTTTCTTGCTTTGCCTTCGGACCGTCCCTGGGTGGAAAGACCTTCCCACAGCTCCGGGGGAGAGACCCCACGCCCCGGCCTGGCTGTACCCTGCAGCCTCGCTCCAGCCTGTGCCCTGCAGTCCCGCTCCAGCCCGGATTTATTGCGGTGAATTTCCGCCGCGCTTTTCGGAGGAAAGTTAAGCCGCGGTGGTTCCTCCCCAGCTTTGCCCCGCACCGACCCAGCCCGTTATTTTTTATTTTTTTTCCTGCTTTGCCCTTTCCCGTGGGTGTCGGTGCCCGCATGGACCCCGCCGGGGCCA